GAAACCCCAATTGGTATTGTAACCGTCGAACGCTATCTTCGAGTGACGCGTAATACCAGAACCTCCGGGTAGGCAAAACAAAGTCGAAGCAGGGTTTCTATACGGTACTATTATGCTGAGAGAAATTCACAATTTATACAAACCTGGACAGTAGATACGGGTCCAAAACAAACAGTCCACTTGGACTACAAAAGTACAAACCAAGGAAGCAAACAGGCTCCCACGTGCGACAGTCACACGTGCAAAGTCGGCTACAAATGGCCAGATGACCTCAAGGCCAAATGGGTGAGATGGTAAGGACAAACAAACGTCAGTTCATATATACACACTAAACACAAAAGTGGAGCGGGGGTTACAAATGGGGACAGAATAAACGTGGGAATTTCATTGTCAACGTAATAGATGAGGTACATTAGTTTGCTCTAACACATGTTTCCGGATAGATCGATTTCGACTTAAGATGCCCTGAAGGTCGTATAGATTCCGGAAATCTCTCGATCCGCCACATTCTTAAACTGAACCCTAGACGAACTCCTGTTGGAGCACTTCTGGGGCCTCACCGGGTAAGCTGAAAAAGTTTATGGGACACAATAAGTTCGATGGGAACTTTCGAAATTCGGTGGAACTCGCCACTAATATGGCTTTCCAGCTACTTCATGTCGAACCTTAACGTTGGTTCTTATTGATTTGATGTTTCGCTTATTCTTGCACCAAAATAATTTGAGGCATCCATCTGCAAAGTGAGATGGGTCCTTCCTGGCCAATTCCCGTTTTGTAAGGACCCGCCCCGTACCAAATATCCCGTTTTGTCCCTGTCTGCGAAAATTACTCTTGGATTGATGGTTTGATGTTAAAGCACTTAATTGGACTAGAGATCCTTCAACAGCTTTAGCTTCATTGCACTCTGACGGGGACAAAATTTCCTCAGAAGCCTTGATTTGCAAACACTGTTTTGCATTGCAACTGGGTTATGTTTAGCTGTCGCGAGTTAGGATACTCAAAAGCCAGGCCTGGTCACCTGGTTACCCTTGGCGCGCATTGTTGACACCGTATAGTAAGCTCAATAGTACAAACAGTGAAGGTTCGATAGCTCGCGTGTAATACAATAAGCACAAGAGGTGCCATGGGGCGTATGCTCAACGTTCTTTGGTTTATCAGTCCAAGTTAGGGTTAGAGGCACTTCAAAGAATTGTAAGTTCTCTCGCCCTCAAAATGCTCAATAGGACAGCTGGCCATCGAGCTAACCCGTCCAGGTACCTCTGCTAACATGTCATGGGAGACAACTCCTAACCCCCCTTCATTTGTAATCACTAAGCATAATCAAACAGTCTTCGTAGAACACTGGTCATCTGGCCTTTGCTGACTGTTCCAAAGTAAGGTCATGCGACTTACCGACATACCGTCTCTTGCATATGCGTAGAACATGTGCGTCCCACCACAGGTATGCTTTAGTCGCGCTGGTTACTGATGAGGGAATGATTCTTCTTCCGAACACCATTCGACTCTTACAACAACACCCACTTGTGATAGCTTCTGTATGTACATATTACAGGCAAGTTCTACTTGAAAATAATCCGACCTAAGCAACAACGCCTCCTTCAGACAGAGTAATGTCTATCTTTAACATAGATACAGGTAGATTAGTATGATAATCCGAGAGTAGAAAAGTACGAAGGCATGAATAATTCAGGCTAAATGTCATCCACTTTGTGATTGTGCACTTGGCGGTACATGACCGATAGTGACAGCTAACCTTACTATTGATAAAATACTTTCGACTACATGGGACGCACAAGTATGGCAGCACTGGTTTACTTCTGTAATAAATCTGAGGAGAGACTAATAAATGACTGAGAACCTGAGAATGACGGCCAACACGGAACTAAATTTTGGGCCACGGGGATAAAAGCACAGTGCTTGCTTCAGGTGGCGAGGTTACTCAAAAACGAGCAAGTAGCCTTCTGTGTGTAGTACGTGATGGGTAAGGATATCCCAGGTTCGGTTGGGTGTGTGTAATAATATCAGGTAGCAACAGGTTTCCTAAAACATTGAGTAACTGACTTCATGGAAATTCAGTTTGTGCATGAACCTGAAAATTTAATCAACACACTGTCCAAATCGGACCACTTCAGTCTGGTCCTGCCGGCGGTCCCCATTAGAATGACAATTGGAATGAAAACAATCAGGTTACTGCTACGTACCTGTGCATTTCTTTTGCTATTCCTTATTCTCGATGTTATCACCATTTCAAGATAAAACACTGTAATTTTTTCATAAAGTTTCTTACACTTCGGTAACTACATCAGAGTAGATTAGCAAAGCAAAGCTAATTCCGAAGAACAGCTTTCCGAATGTATATTTGCCTGAGAACATCATAAACGAGAGATTCAGCTGGGTTCCAGGTGAGTCTAGTCTAAGAACCAAATTAGTTTGCAGATGAGTGTAGATTCGCTAGCTTTCCTAATGTTTTTACCACCTTTTCCCCTCTTTCTGCTCATTTAATACCCTCTCCTAATACCCTCGCTTTAGACGATATTTGGCTGCTCCAATGTTGCCAATCTTAGGGCTAGAGTCCTGATGGCGATGAAAAGTAAGGATTGCCGCAGGCGATGTCACCCCATATGAAACCGAAAATAGTTTTGAAAAAGTTTTCTCTGTGACCCGCTTGTCTGCCATGGATACAAAACTTCCGAGATGAGAGTTCAGTGAGCCACCTATTATGAAGCGTTTTTGTCTGGTCCATGAATCTAAATCTGACGTTGCAACTTAGTAGTAAGAATAGCGGATCAAAACATGAATTGAGGTCACTCATGTTTAAGGCAGCCAAATCTCCATTTGTGGTCAGTGTCATATGCAGGTGCAGAGTGAAGCGTGTACACATGCTTTCCCGTACCTAGGTTTTCGAAAGTATCTGTCGACTAGAGGAACACACTTCCCGGTGTTTGTTATGGGGATCACAGTGATCAAGACCCACTGGAGTACACGCCAAAATGAGCAGTCATTCTGATGAATGAAGGATCAGTGAGCAAGCAGTAAACTGAAAACCACAAATGTTGCTCATAGTTTACAGTTTAGTAGGGAAGTGCACATAGTTTAAACGGTGGACATAGAAATCATACCTACAAGAATTAAGGACATTCCACATGCAACCAAGTAGCCATCGTCCAAACAGCCAGGCCAGATGACTCATGCAACGCAGAGAGTGTGAGTGACACTCTGTGCTGCATTAGTTTCTCGTTGACCATTAATGGTGCGCCATTGTAGTAGGAAAAAAGGCTAATATATTGCCTGGAGAGATGCTGTTTAGAATCCTCATCGGGGTTTGTTAAGCACAGAACACCCCCCCCCCCTAAAAACAGTACAATAGTTCTTTATTCCTAAGGTTATTAGACTTTGCCTTACAATAGGTGGTAAAAGCCCAAACAACTCAAACTTGTGCCAATAGTAACTAAAGGGAGATGGCTGACATCGATGAACCTGCCAGTGCCCTAGTTGCAA